AAAATATCAATAAGATTCTGACCAAAGATTGGCTACAAACTACACAAATTAGTTTATACATCTAGTACTTTCTAAATTTTATTGTTTATTATGGTATTTATTTAATTTTAGTTGTGAATGATTCTATTTTTTTTTTCATTTTAGGTACTGGTATCATACTTTTATGGTGCCGGGTTCATTGATAACAAAACTTTCATTTATTAGCCCTTACAACACTAGTACCTATAGTGTTAAGTATTATTTTTAAAAGATTACTGATGCATTCAAAGTCAAAGGCAAAAGAGACATGTTATTTTTAGCTGCTCACAATTCAAGGTAAATTATTATTGTTATTTATCTTTAACTTTAGTTAATATTTTAGTTAATAAAATATTTTATTTTTTCAGGTAACATTGAGTGCTTGTTTGTATCAATCCATTCATTCTTATGAGTTATTATCTTGACTCATTAAGAGATAGTAACTTTAAGAACTATAAATACATGAGAATATTATTTAATCAGTAAGTTTTTTTAGTTCTATATTATTTAAAGATATTTATTATAACAATTAGTTTTTACTTGGTATGCTTAATTATTATATTACAGGGCTGTAGCATGTTATTGAGGTGGTGAAGATCTTCCTCCAAACACCGAAAGGCCTGATCCTGTTGAGTTTTATTCATAAAAAAGAATAAAGTTTTGTATTATTTTCTTAATAAAATAAGTAGGTACGTATCTAAATGATTGTTTGATTGATATTTTATGTTTATTATTCTAAATATGCTATTATGCATTGATGTAGAATTTTTAAAAAATTCTGAAACTTTTAAATTATAGAGGAGACTCTGCCAGATTTTTGACAGCAAATACTTGTATTATATATATAACTTCATCACTGAAGTATTTTAAATTAAGTTAAAATTTATTTCTACCATATTTTAATAATAACATCTTTTATTATTTTATAGTTACCTACACAATTACAAGTTTGGGAGTGTGGATACTATGTTATAAAGTTTATGAAAGAAGTAATCACATAATAAGAGTTGATCATTCCTAAAAATGTAAGTCAAAATCTTTAAAATTAAGTTAATATAATGTTAATTATTAATATATTGCTTTCATATCTTGTGTAGTATTTTATTGCAATAAGATGTTTGCATTTTACTATGAAATAAATAGAAGATTTAATTGAAGAATGGTCAAAATATATTATTGATTGTTTGTAATAGGAAGTTATATTAATGTTAGAAAAATACCAATAATGTCATTTGCTAGACTTGTTAGAAATTAAACTAGTTAGTTAGGAAATTAAAATTATTATATTAGTTTCAAGTTCTTTTCTTGTATATAAATTTTTATGTTGATATTATTTTTGAATTAGTTTTTCATATTGTGATTAGTCATTGTTTAAAGAGACATAAAAGGAAAAATTTTAAAAAAAATTATTTTTAAAAAATAAAAACAATCTACGAGAATACTTATTTGAAGAGCTCTGCTGTAGAGTGACATACGAGAGCGCTCCTGTAAGTTGTCATTTGAGAGTGCTCTTAAAATGAGCGCTCCCATATGTCGCTATACAAGAGTGCTCTTCAGATGAGCGCTCATAGGAGCGCTCATCTGAAGAGCGCTCCTATATGTGTCATTTTTGGCCCTTTTATACGGGAGCATTTTTTGGAAAGCACTCCTGTATACATACATACAAGAGTGCTTTTTAAACGCTCCTGTATATTTCGAAATGCTTGATATGGGAACGCTTTAAAGTAAAAAAAAATACACTCCTATAAACTTATTTTATAATAATGAAGAGTCAGTTCAGTGAATATTCTATAATCAAGTTGATAATCACAAACTAGTAATTGCAAATGAATTCTTTCAATTTACAAAATGAAAAGTTTGGAGTCTAATGTACTCTCTCCGTTTTATTATATTTTTTCTTTTAATTAAAGTTAAGAAATACAATAATGTAAAAATATGATATACTTTATCAAACTTATCCCTAATTTATTATTCTATACCGTAAATATACAACAAAACATGCTAATTATTAGAAGATCGACTTGTGGGGAGATAATAGCAAGTGGGAGAAGGACAGAACAGTGTAGGAAGATCAAGAAAGGAAAGTTAGAATTTAGTACACCCAATTAGAAAGACTTATTGCCGCAAGATTTTTTTTTTTTCCTCTTAAATTATGAGCATATTATGTTTTAGTAGTTTCGAAGACGTCATCGTCACGATGGAATAGAAATTAATTTATAAAGAAACAATATAACTTTTAGTTGCTTAAGGTTACATTAATTATCGATTTGGTTTTTTAAATTTATTTTAATTATTATTTTGATCCTTATTATTTAAAAATGAAGTAATACTATTAAAATTTGTTAACATACATGGATAACAAAATATTGATAACAACCATGTAAATTAATCAAAAAAATATAATTATTTAGTTAAAAAAATAGACTCTAAAATTAAAAAAAAACAAGAGAATAAAGTATAGCATATACTCCTTCCGTTTAAAAATATAAGACATTTTTTGAGTAGTTAGATGTTTAAAAATTTAAGGTATTTTTAGTCTGTTGAGGTGTAATCATTGCCTTTTTTTTTTCAAAAGTGCCCCTATTAGTAGTGACTTTATATTTATTATAGGATGTTTAATAGGAGTAAATATAAAAAGATAAGGTTAGTTTAAAAGTAGATAGCTACTTTATTGAGAGGTGAGATTCAGTTAAAAATGCCTTACATTTTTTAACGAAGGGAGTAGATGATTATATATCAGGAAAAATTAAATTGATTTGAGGTTTAATTTTTTTTAATTTAACTATATATACATGTCAAGTCATCAATATATACTATAACATTTTTTGTTTTAGGCAACAATTTTCTGATTGCCTAATGTAGATGTAATAAGTAGATTTTGTATACATGTTGCTATTAATCCCTACGGTAAACAATAAATATTATTTGGCAAAATTTGAAAATTGTTCTTAAAATAAAATAAGCAACAATTTTAAAGTATTGAAATAAAATTTTTGAATAAACAATATGGAAAACTATTTCCTATAAACATGCTTTTATCACAATATTCCCAAACTGTACGTTCCTATTTTAATAGGCAGCAAAAATATATATGCTGCCTATAAATCTTCATTATTGCAATGTTTAAGAATTGTTACTTATTTTTTTCTACACATAAAGAAAATATTTTTTTGATAATTTTTCTTTAATTTTAATTTATTATATATTTAAAAAATTCAAAAATTAAATTAAGAATTATCTATAATATTTAAAAGCCATGTTAGAAGAGTAATTAAAATCACATCTTCCTTTCAAGAGGTGCAAGGTTTGAATCTTAGTTGGGAAAAGAAATATTAAGTGTGTCTATGTAGTTTTGGCTGTTTAACATGATTTTACAATAATTCTTAAATATTGTCTATTTTATGTGATAAACAATATTTCAAAATCGTTGCTTATAGATAGTTAGATAATAATTCCAGCCTATTGTCATAAGGTAACAATTTTAATGAAGTATGGCCATAGAGTGAACAAATTGTTACTTCAAAAGTGTTTCCTAAACATACATGCAATAGTTTTGGTAGTTCTTGCTTCATTTTTAAAAATGTTCCCATAAGTCAAAATTGTTGTTTTAAGAGTCAATTTACTTCTTTGGTTTTATTTATAGAGTAGAGATGAAAGATTAATTTTGATCTCATTTATAGGGTATTTTATGATTTTTTATATTCATCTTTACCTTTATGCCTTTATTAAGCATTAGGAAATATTATTAAAAATAGTTATTTTTAATTTGTTTTTATCAAAGGGTAGAGGTAGATCTGAAAACTTATTAAATTTTAAGATAAAATTTAATTAAAGTTTAAAATTTTTCTTAATTTTAATAAAATATGCTAGACATGACTTATAAATAGGATCAAAGGGAGTATATTTTAAAACTCAAAGGACTTACACATGGTAATTTGAAAAAATATAAGGAATCAAAAATTAATAACTAAGACAACAAATTTGAAAAATTGAAAGTTTCATTATCACATTCATAAATAATATACGAGTGATTATGAGATCGGAATAGTGGACATGATTTGCAAGAAACAGAGACGCATGAGCATGCAAGTTGCCAAGTATTCCGAGAGATTAAAGTCTACAATTTTAAATTATGGCAACATTGGCTCTAGAGGGAAGATTAGACACACACTATGTACTCCTTCAGTACATAGTCCCAAAATTTAATATTAATTCTTGTGATCAATGTCAATAAAGACTTAATTATGACAATGAAAGATCATCTAACTAAGCATTACGAGGCTTTATGCAGATAAAAGCCACAGTTCAAGCTGCCTGGCTAGATCCATCTTATCCAGCCACTAATTGAATTTAAAATTATTTATTCTTCTTCATTTTGACAAATATGTTTCTGTTATCAAATTTTCTCTAGCAATCACTGATTATATTAAAATCAGAGACATTATTTTAAAAAAAGGGCTTGAATAATGTCTATTATAGAAGTTAATTATTAATTAGGTCGAGACGTCTGAGAAACTCCAAAAGTTTTTTTTTTTTGGCCAAAAGAAACTCCAAAAGTTAACATTGAAATAATCCCACTTCTTATTATTGTTATTTTTTTACACAGTTTCTGATCAAAGCCACCTCAGTTTTCTTTTGTTTTTTTTGATAAAGCCCCTAATTCAGTTTTCAATGTCATTTATGAACCTTTTTTAAAGAATAATTTTTGAGAAAAACATGGGTATATTAAAATGGAAACCCTTATTCAGCCTAAAAGCTTGGGGAACATTGCCAGCCCAACATACTAATTTTGATTTGCCCGTCACTTCAATCGCACCCTCCTCTCTAATGCGGCTTTATTAAGTTAAACAAAGAAATATAATCCTATGAATAATGAAATGATAGTATAAATTGAAAAAAAAAAAAACATAGTGTATCAAATACATATCATTAATATGTGATAGAAACCAGATATTAGTCATTCACAACATAACAAATCAAAATTTAAATTCCTATCAAGATAAGTAACATGTTTATATTTAATATGATTGTGTTTGGAACATAATTGACATTCACTTGGGGAGACACATGTGAGAACTTCAAAAATATGATAAATTTGATATTTAGAGAGAATCCAAATGGATAACCAACTATTTTGTCTCCGAGGAATTGCATTGCACCGTAATACTCCACCAATGCCATAACCAATCATCTCCATACTGGTGATGCACCCCACCAACATAAACAAAACCCACTGTACTCTTATATATATATATATATATATATATATGAGAAGATATATAATAAATGCAAAATATGTACTCTGTTGTTGTGAGACCCACGTATCATAGTCACAGATCTTGCAGCTATTATTTGTCTATCCTCATCTTAGTTTGTCTCCAAGTTATACTTAAAAGGGCTTCAAGAGGGACGAAGAATCAGAATGCCACCGCTTCAAATAACGGCGGACACTTCCCTGTGGAACAGATCGAAACCCAACAAAAAAACAGAATATAATAGCAAACTTCGTAAATTGTTGCCATATTAATGAACTCTTTCTTCCTCACAGTTTCTCCCCGCCGCATCAGACATCTTCTCCCATGGCTTTACACGTACCTTCAACTTTATATCACTCAACATCCCACCCCTCCACGTATCCACTAAGAAAATCCATTTGATCAAAACCAAAATTAATGTTTTGTGAAAAACCGGTGAGTTTTTTCCATTCCACCTCAGTCAAATTTACAACGTTCCCGAATAATTTACATCTTAAAGGAGAAAAATTTTAAAGCAGTCAACCCCCAAATTACCAATCTGGGCAAGCCAGCCGCATGCAAGCTCGTGTATAGATACGGTAACTTCTAGCAACGGTCCAAAAACTTTACACGAGCTTCTCAATCCTGGAGGTTATAATTAGCCGTTCCGATCGTTCGAACTGTTTCCGGGCTGCGCCTGATCACGGCGGGCTTCCACTCTGACCCTCCTGTTTCAGAGTCGCGATCATTTCCACCGATCTGTCGCTGTAGTTGCAGGTACAAGTGACGCTGGTGTTGTCGCCGGCGAAGGAAGAAGACCTGCTCGAGGATGCCGGAGTGGCCAAGCAAGTCGGCTTCTCTTCTCCCGGCATGATCACCAAGAACTTGGGCTCGCAGGCCACCGGAGACGGCAGTTTCTGGGTTCCGTCGAGCTTGGCGTCACCGGCTTCCAGGTCCGGCTCACCTTCGCGGCTTTCGTCGAGGAATCCGGAGAGCTTCCAGTAGGAGCAGGCGAGAATCAAGAGGGCGAAAGCGATGAGACCCAACATAGCAGCCAGACCTCCGAACAAGTACGGCACCGGAGAATGCCAGGGCGAGTGCGGCTGAGCCGGCTCGGGCGATTTGGCTCCCACGTTGATGGGCTCTCTGTAAGCAGCCATTAATTAACAGTTTTTGGCAGAGAGAAGGAGAAGAAAAGAAGATTGATTGAGATGAGATTGATTATGGGTTTGTGAGAAGCGGATGATTGCAAGGGTAAAGGGATAATGGTACTTATAGAGAGGGTCAAGAAGAAAACGAGAGCGGTGGTGGGGTTTGATATGGCGTCATTGCCAAAGGTGGGCCATGTTGAGAACTCTCTTGTTCGGATATGGAGTACTATATGTATATGTAAATATATGCATTTGGATATCTGTATAATTAAAGCTAGTGAGATAGGGATATAGAAGATAATTTAGTATGAAAGGCCACTAACTAACATAAGAAAGCTGGCCTGGCTACATATATTAATCCACTTTCATTTGCATCTGAATTCATTCATAATGTGGCATCTGATACCATATTTCATTTATTTGGATACTAGAATATGAATCTGATACCCGGACGTTTGGCCACATATATGAAAGTGTGGCCTTTACCAACAAGTACTTTCAACCAGTAACAGAGTTGTATCGTTTCTCGTGTTCAAATTTTAAAAATGTAACAACATTTGGTGGTATTGTTTTCGCCCAAAAAAATCTTGACTTGACTCAATTAAGATTAGTCAGAACTTTTACTTCAGACTTGGATGATTTACTTAAAAAAAAAAAAGTAATTAAAGCCTTTAGGCCGCATACATATCCACTTCGATCGCTCCTTTAACAAATGGTGATGGGTAATTCTCATTCTTTCCATTTTCAACATACCCACAGTTTTTTATGCGTTCTCAATTATATTTTCAAGCATTTTGCCATTTTCTTCTCAAAAAGTAATGCTGCAGACTCTATTTATGCTTCTCAAAAAGTGAGCGTTATCTCATGATCGGTTAATGTTGACTGCCGGCTCAGATCAAAATGACTCGATTATTTTAAAGCATAATTGAAAGCGTAAGCATTTTTCGGGCTTTATATATATTTCATTGCACATTCAAGTTTTCATTCAATTAAATTCTATCACTCTTTTTCATTAAAAGAAAAATTCTAATACACGTACTTTTCACATGTTTAATTACTTCCCAACCAAGTTTTATGCTAATCCTTTTTATTGTAAACTAACTAATGTTAGTCCTAAGCTGCATGCACAAAATGTGAGAAACTACTGTAAAATAATTTAATTTATATAGTTTTGATTCCATCACAACATAATCTCTAAAGTTCTAACTCAGTCAACTTAGCCTCTCAAGTTTTAGACATTTAACAAATTAGTCCCTATATTTTTAAAAAATGTCTAGCTCTCCTTGGATTGGGTTGTAATTGAATTATAAAGTGTAAGACCAATGGATTAACTAGCTAAAGTTTAAAGGGACTGAGTTGCATTGAATTCAAATTCAAGAATCGAATTACGAATGTTACAAGGATCTCAATGACTGATTTTTTTTCTTTTTTAAACAATAATAATCAAAATGTTTAACATACACTTTAAGTTTTATGAAAGCATATAATGATTATTATTTTAACAGATGAGCAAAACCGGAGGGAAAATGCTGCACCTAGCACATTAAAACATCACATTCTTTTTTGTCAGGTTATACCTGTCTTTGAATGTTAAAAACAAATCATGACATTCTTTTGTGACCAAACAAAAAAGACAACGAAATGGTTATTATTGGAAAATTTATCGAAATTGTTAATATTGCAGGAGATAGAACTTATCTTTCATTCTTTGGATCTAGTTGAGTGATACGTTATCTTGTGTCCCCATTTCCCCATCACTTTATAAGATGATTATAAGTATTTAACAAGAGATAAAGATATTGCTAGCTAATTGTATTATGGGTGTTAATTTTGGGAGACTAAATCTTACGTACACAAAGTCTCTAACGTTGGATCATACAACCAGTAACTCCAACAAAAAAAGATCACTGTAACTCAGATATGTTCTTTTCATTGCATTATTGCCTTGCTTCGCACGTGGTGTTAACGTTATATATGCATGATTGGTGGTACACAAATTTCATATTATCATGCGTCCTAGTTAAGGAGAATCATTTCATACTTATCATAAGCTATAGTCTGCCAGATTTTTAACCTTTGTCATATTTTTTTGCTACTGATGGCAAGAATGATTCAATGAATGAAATATATACGCTTAACCATTATTATTAAAAAGAAAAGAAGAAAAATCAACATTTTGTATTGACGAGCGATGCCTTTGCTTTATATAGCACGTCTATCAAATTTTTCATTAAATTTTCATATATATCCAAATTATTAATTCAAGCAACATGCAAAGAGAGAATCCAACTTATAAATCATCCGATTGGTTCCTGGGAAATTAAGTCATCAATTTTTACAAGCATGGCACTTCCATTACAATTTCTCGAGATTCCTCTTTTTTTTTTTTGTGGTAACAGTTTCTTGAGATTCCTGGCTAATACTATAGTCATGTTTGGTATGGATGAATGAGGGGGTAGTACTAGAATTTAAGATAGCATTGAATTTTATAGCATTTATAAATGCCACGAAATTAAAATTTTAAATGCCACTAAAGCTCATTTTCTATAGTAGTGCTTGTTTGGTATGGAGAAATGAGGGGGTGGTACTAGGATTGAGATAGACTAATTCCAAACTTATGTATTTGGTAGGTGGGAATGAAGATTTTAACCCAAATCCCAATCCCATCTAGGTGGGATTATTTAGTACTACCACCCCCGCTATTGCAAAATCAAATCTAAGATTGATTTTTATAAAGATCGAAATGCTCTTACCTTGCTTTTTGTCTACTTCATCTTCTTCCTTCACTGGTTTGAGATCCATCATCTACTTTAGTCCCAAATCTAACATCTTTAGTCCCAGATCCATCATCGTCATCTTCAATTCGAAATATTCTAGATCTAGCTCCAAAAAATGATCTCTATCATTGCATTCATTCGAATCAGTCATCTTCTCTTCAATTTGCTTGAATCTGTCGAACACGTCTAATCTCTCACCTTTATCCCCACCATCTTCGATACATTCTCCTTCTTCTCCGATCTTGCACCCAAGGGCCTGTGGGTCTCACAAAAGCTATCGCCTTCTCCTCTCCAATCTCATCGCCACCGACCTTTGGGTCTAGCAAACGCCACCACCTTCTCCTTCTCCAATCTCACAACCATTGACCTTTGGATCTCACAGCAAAGGGGTGGTGGAGTGTGGAGCATCATCGAATCAAAGATGATACTCTGCTGCTCTAGTCACTCGTTGAGAAGGTTAAGGAGGATTAATGAAATTTTTTTTAATTTTAAGGAGTATTATAATCTTTTTATAATTTATATTTTATTATAATCTTTTTATAATTTAAAATAAATATTTTTTACAAGTATTACTTTATACCGAACCTTTTTTATTTTTATTTTTAATATTAATCTTAATTTCAATATCAATCCCCTTAAATTTAAGTCCCATGCGAAACAAGGCCTCCAATGTTTAATGTAATGCAGATGGCAGCGTGGGGTCACGTGACATCATGCAGGGTGGGCCTGTTTCAGATACAGTTGGGGGGCCCACCACCAAGCGAGCATGGGGTCAAGGGATCATCCAATCGGATCATGATCAAAGCAGTTATCTGGAATGACGTGGCAACACTGAGACCGTCGAATTTAAGATTCATTGGGGCGAAACTTTCTAGGCAATTGAGTCGCGTGTATTCGCGTGTCACTGAATCCAGCCACTTGATGTTTGTTGGCTTCCTGCATGGGTGAGAATAATTCGAGCAAATTTATGATGTTTTAAAATTTCGGAGTGGGTAATGAGTGGGAGAACAGTTTTGGTTTTGAAAAAGCTGCCAACTTTAACTCAAAACGATAAGTGTATGATTTATTTGTTTTTTTTATAAAAATGATAGATAAATTGGCTCACCAACACACAAAAAATTCATACTCAAAAAATATAAATTAAATTTTTAATAATTTACAAGTGCGTCACGTTGATATTAATATATAAAATATTTATTATTTTTATATAAAAAATTTATTATTAAAAATTTAAAAATTTACAAAAAAACTTATTATTAATATATTATTAATAAATATAATAAATCAATCGTAATGTAAAATATAATAAATATTAAATATTTTATTTAATTTAATCATATAACATAGGTTATATTTATAAAAATTTTAAAAATAATTTGTTTTTGGTTATTGATTAAAGTTGGAGGATGAGTAGGTGAAAAAGATGAAGCAAAGAAACTGGTTATGGGTTAAAGACTTACTCGCTGGATTATAATATAAGCCAGGGTTAATTAATTTACATATTGAAATCTTAAATTTTTAAAAATATTTATATCTTTTTATTTATACATTCATTAAATACCCTATATAAAAATCTTAATAATAGTAATTAAAATTTTAATGCATAATTTTTTTAAAAAGAGTAATAAATGAAGTATGAGTGTAGTTAACAAATAAAAAAATTAATATTTTAGTTCTTTAACTATGTATCATTACGATTCAGTCTCTCAACTTTTGACTCGCCTATAACTTGATTCTTCAACTTTTGCTAGCTCTCTTTTTTCATGTTAGTTTAGATTTCACATCAAAGAGCAAAAAGAGGATATTTTAGAGTTAAATATGAGCATTTCTTTTATCCCTCTTATTTGATAATGTTAATTTTAAAAAAATTGAAAAATAAGGATAAAGTTATAAATGAGTCAAAAGTTGAGGAACTAAATCACAGCAAGTCATAGTTAAAGAACTGAGTCATAGAGAGTCACAGTTAAAAGACTAAGTCATAAATAAGTTAAAAGTTAAAGGATTAAAAGATTAATTTTTTCAAAAATAAATATAAAAATTGTCAAATACCCTATATTTTGAACCACATAAAATTTTTAGAAGATGTCTTATATTATGACTTAGAAGAAGTATAAAGATTTGGATTTATTAAGTGACACAAGTTTACTCACTCATTGAGCATTCCACATAACATGATAATAGTTGTTCAATTTGATTAAATTACTCTTATTAGAAATTTTGTTATATAATACTAAAAAAGCATCAAATCTCAAAGTTTTGAATACATTAGGAGTGTTCTAATTATGAAAACTATTTTAATTTTTTTAAAAAATATATCTTGA